AATAAATTATAAGCGTTTTATTAAAAATATCCAAATGTTTTAAGTCATTATTTAATGATTAAAACTCTGGTGTCCGGAGAGCATGTAGGTATACAGGTAATGTGTTCTATTCTACTAATAAAGTATATAATCAATTGAATAATATTAAATAATTTATGTCATGTTAAAATTCGATAAATATTGTTATATAAGTTACTTCACTATATATATATATATATTATATAAGTTACTTGTATATATTTGCACACCACTAAGGTACAATATGTAGAACTAATTATACTTGAGCACCATTGTACAACCATATTCTTGAAAATAAAGAATTATTATTATTACATTTTCTTATTACATTTTATACGTGGCAGAGTCAAGCTGCAGCTATATTATGGTTGTAGCATGAATGGGTCGGCTAGACCGAGGTAGGACCACGCTCGCACAGAATACCTGCCTAAAATAGTAGCTTCACGCTGCTGTGCTTCGTATGGTGATTGTAGAGAACCGGAGACCCTTTCTACTGGAAACGAGGCATTCCATCTTATCCTCAGGGTTGACAACGCATCTGCATTTTGATTCCTAATCGAGGATAAATGTAGATATCTATGGGCCACAGCATCCACATACCATCAGGTGGACTGTGTGCTCGTTTGTCACCCTTATTCTATATAAAAATATATAATCCAGCAACCAGATTCGGTCTCTAGCTTAGAGTAAGCATTAAGGCCACCATTTCATACGCTGTGGCATCTTCTGGTGTGGCTTTTTTCGTCAATACATCACCCAAGAAAGGCAAATCAAATACAAAAACACACAGTGAAGTTATTTGTTGGTAGGGTTGATGTATGTTTTTATAGGAGAGGGGGCAAACGAGCATTCGGCTCACCTGATGGTAAGTGACTACCACCGCCCATGAACAACTGCAATACCAGGGGAATTGCAGTTGGCTCTTTTCTTGAAGGTGCCTAAGTCGTGTCGGTCCAGAAAAATCGCTGGTGGTAATCGATTCCATATGGAAGTCGTGCGAGGAAGAAAACTTCTTCTAAATCGCACAGTGGTGGACCGCCAATTATCCAGATGGTATGGATGGTATCGCGAGTTTAGTCGCGATGTGCGATGGTGAAATTTGGCGGCTGGAATTAGTCCGAACAATTCCTAAGAGCACTCCCCGTGATAGATGCGATAAAATACGCAAAGAGATGCAACATCTCTACGCAGTGCCAGTGAGTCAAGCCGATCGAAAGAACTCGGTCGTCGACAATTCGAACCGCTCTGCCCTGGATGCGGTCAAGTGGAAGGAGCTGGCACTGGGGAGCCCCTGCCCAGAGATGGGAACAGTATTCCATGTGAGGCCGAACCTGCGCCTTGTAAAGTTGCAAATGGTGTGCCGGCATGATACGACATACTGTCCCGCTCTGCTGAGCACGCCAAGCTTTTTAAAGGCCAATTTGGCCTTCTCTTCCAAGTGACCACGAAACTGCACATCATATTTCTCGAAGACTAGCGCCTTGATTAAGAGTCTCCTTTAATCAAAGAAACTTTTCTTTAAATCAAAGTAAGAACATAAATTTTTAACAATAGTTTAAGCGACAGTAGCGTAATGGCAGAGTGCGGACCGCGAACTTAAAAAGTCGTGCGTTAAAATCCGCCATGCGTCTACTGTCGTGAACCAATCCTAACACGAGCATTTTAAACTTACTAGGAGTGGCTACAGGGAATATGAGTAATGTTTATAGCGTTACTAGTATTAAAAAAAAAGTTTAAATGTAAGACTATCAATAAACCACGTTTTATAATAAGACAGTATGGGTTTCATATTTTAATTAAAAAAAGGTAATTTTTGTCTACTTAAAATTTTTTGTGATAAAAATGTAATCATTCATAAGTGATTTTGTGTTTCTTTTTGGTTAAATTTTATTTTAAGTGTCTAATATTTTAAATCTACCTCTAATTTATGAGTGTATGAGTCAATAACATAAAATCTCTTGCTTTCTTTTAAATAAAATTTTAAATTCTCCGAAGCATTATCGGGTCTTAAGAATATCTTGCAAATTGAATTCACGTTCCTTCGGTGACCGGATTATATAAAACACAGTGGACTTAATAATCGAATAACCCCTATTCTAAGATCCGCGGCTATTCCCGGCGGGATCCGAATGATTGGGTATTATGAGATTTCCATCGGTGCTCAAGTATTAAATCATTTGGAATCGTATTGTCTCGCTGTTCAAACTCGAAACGCAGGAAATTGTGTTTATTATACGCTGACTTGAAATCAGCATTTATAAAATAGATATGCGTTATGTAATTTGACTTATAAACTATTGTATTGGGCAACGGGCATCAGTTGTTTTCCTAAAAAAATATTTTTTAAAATAAAAGGATCGTTAGTTCATAAAATCTGCCTTTTACTAGTTTGTAAGCCTCCTCTTCAGACTAAAAAACGATGGAGCAATTATATTAAAAAATGTCGTTTATTACGTGGTCTCTGGCTACGAGTTCGTCTGACTAGCTACCACCCTCTTACCTATCTCTGCAGACAAATACAAATGCTTGCACCTATAGTTACAGGCTGCGAGGCATTCCATCTTCCTTCCATACTCAGGGGTGACAACGCATCTATAGTCTTCTTAGGCTCAGAAGGGCTAGAACCCAGAGCCGCAAAGCCAGTTAAAAAAATAGTCTTCTTTGTTCGAAATTGTTCGCAGGCGTAGGTACTCAGTCTGCATCTGCAGTAGCCACTTACCATCAGACGGACTGTAAGTTTGTTTGTCACTTCAATTTTATTAAAGAAAATTTATCCCTTTTTATACAAAGAAGGGTGACCAGCGAACAAACATTCAATGTGATGGTAAGTGGATGATCTGCCTAAGGGGCAGAGCATTGGTATAATGGCATATTTGAGGTCCGTATACTTGATGTAGTCTAGCTCGAACAGCGTTGATTACTTTGTCGTATAACTCCAGAATTAAAGTCTTCAACGGAAGTCTGTCGTTTAGCAATTGGTACAGTTATTCAGTCATAAGCCCAGTTCACTTGCTTGAAATTTCTTTAACAACGTAATAATGATTTCGGGCTCCATAATGGAACATGTAATGATAAGTCCTCACATCTTAAATAATATAATTCAATGAAAGCTTCTGATAGCAAATAAAATAGAGTAAACATTATTATTATCAAAATAAGTAAATTTTTCGATTGTAATTCAGCTTGCTAAAGTATTATCTAGCACTATTTATAATTGTTTCTTTAATATGCAAATATAAATAAATATATAATATAATAAAATTTAATAGGCAAATGCTATTTATTTTCGCATATACAGAAATCACCCGTGCGTAGTCGGGACGGATCGCTAGTATGTATATAATATATAATACATATAGAATACTTGTATAGTCCTGACGATAATTTTGTTTTAAATACAATTCAACCTATAAATTCATAAGCTTTTTGTTGATTTTTTTAGAACCGAGGTATTTTCTGAACAAGTTATAAATTAAATGTAAGTAAATAAATAAATAAATATATTTTTTTATTTTATCACTAACATTGGTATAGGTAAGTTTTGTGTAAGTAATGTAAAATTAAAACATTGCAGATAGTATTGAAGAAGTGGCGCAGTTCCATTATCGAGACCTTTTCTTCCACGCCACTAGTCAGAATCTCAGTTGCAAAAAGAATCAATATTAAACCAATTGTAAAATGTCTCAGACTCAATAAAAGCGAGTTGAAGTAAATGCGAGCGTCTTAAAAGGCCAATTACCACACAATTTGCGTCGCCCGCCGCCCCCGTCCCGATATGAAATTATTGTCTTGAGAATTGCTGCGATCGTACATTGTACTCAAGAAATTAAATAGACAGATATTTATTACTTTATAGGAAATTATTAGAAATAGATTTCGAATCAAACAATTATACTTTACTAAAAACCGGTTTATTTGGCAATCACAAATTCATCGGGGATTGTGCTTCCACCAGTGATGTTTCCGGACCGATACGACTTCGGCAGCTTCAAGAAAAGAGCTTTAAAAGGCTGGCTACGTATGTGCAATTCCCCTGGTGATGTAGTTGTTCATGGGTGGCGGTAGTCACTTACCATCAGTTGAGCAGCATGCTCCTTTGCCCCCTCTAGTATATAAAAAAATCTATGGAGAGGCCTATGTTCAGCAGTGGACTGGATAAAGGTTGTAATGATTATGATCATGATGAAAGGCCGGCTAATAAATATGTACGAGTATATAACATAAATATATAATAAATTGTAATTAAATTTAATAAAATGTAAAATGTAATATAATAAAATGTAAAATGTAACTAATTCTTATGTAATAACTTCTTTGTATCAAATAAATAAATGAAGTGGCAATCACAAAATGAACATATACACAGTAGAACTGCAGTAACTGACACAACCTAATGGATCAATACGAGGGTGACATTGAAAGTTCTTGGAAAATCAAAAACTGAACAAACTACTAAGTTATTACTTTTATTATATCTTTCCAAAATAGTGTTCATTTACATCATTACATAATATGTTAAACAAATGGCAAATTAATAAAATACATACCTACACAATAATATTGGCAAATAGTTCCATTTTCAAAATTTGAACTTATTTTTTTTTTATTACATCGTTTACAAGTGGCCAGTTCTAAAAACTTTCAGTGTCGCCTTCGTAAGCTGAAGTAGCAATGGGCCGATCATATACCTAGCTTGAAGAACTAACAACGATGCGATGCGGAAAAAGGCACACGAGTAGCAGCAGCTGGTAAGCGAAGTGTAAAATGGAGTGGACTATCAACTCCAACTAGATGGAGTACCGACATGTAAAAACGTGCAAGAAGTTGACGGATGCACGTGGCTCAGGATCGTCTTTTGTAGCATTCAACATCTTCCACGACGCCCTTATATTTTCACATTTTACAAAATATCCAATTGCATATTTCGAAAAAAAAACGCGATATTTGAAAAGGTATTAAAATATAAAAATTATTTTGTTCAGGGGCGTTCTTGGTACCATACTGCATAATGTTGGTGGTGGGTGGGATTCCACTCTTTTATATGGAATTGGCACTGGGGCAGTTTCATCGGAAAGGCGCCATTACTTGCTGGGGCAGGCTCGTACCACTCTTAAAAGGTAACTTTCATTTATTAAAAAATATATCAATTTATTTTTTAGTTACAATAATACATTTTCTTCAGTAGTGATCATAGCGTATGATAGATTTATAACCACTTAAGTTAGTCACGTAGCAACTCAACTTTCAACAGCGTAATAAAGAGCTCAATGTCTAAGAAATCCTGACTTATAACTCTATTTTATTTCAAGAAAGTTAAGTAGGTTTATACGTGCATATTAAATATAATTAAAAGTAATTTTGACCTTTCATAAACGACATAATATGTTGATTATTGTTAACGTCTTTTACATGTATGAGCACTGGTAAGTCTCCAAGCCTCACTTGCACTTACCGTCCATAATTGACACCATTTTCAAGGCGCCTCTTAAGTGCTCCATACGGACGCTCTCAAAGGCTCGGGCAGATTTGTGAGGGTGGCTTATGCCCGGTGATTTCATTTCACTCGATTGTCACGTCGCGTCGCACTGCTGAGTAGGTCGCGATATGATTTTAGAAGAGAAATAAAATTGGTAATGGACTGGAAAGGTTCTTTGTAAGAGCATATTTTTGTAAGAAAAGGATTTTAATTTTTTTGTTCTTTAATCTTATTATTTGTCCGACTTTTGGCGGCAAACTTTCAATGCTTAGACTTGGTTTTGTAGCTTTTTAAATGTAATAAAATACGTGTTATTAAAAAACCTAACCTTAACTATTGATAATAAAAGCTATACCCTAAATTCTAGTACTCAATGTTACAATAAATGTTGATTATATTTTAGCATGTATTAATAATAAATAGTAATATTACTAAATTAAAACAGGAATCGGATATGCGGTGGTGCTGATAGCATTTTACGTGGACTTCTATTACAACGTAATTATTGCGTGGGCTCTTCGCTTCTTTTTCGCTTCCTTCACGACTATGCTACCTTGGACTAACTGCAACAATGAATGGAACACTCCTTCCTGTCAGCCGGTAAATATTTCTTAAATTTACCAGAACTTAAACTATTTTCTTCAACCGACTTAAAAAGGGGGAGAAGCTCAATTCGACTGTATTTTTTATGTGTGTTGCCTCAGAACTTTCTTCTAGGTGGACCAATTTTGATGATTTGAAAGCAGGTGCTTCTTATGTAGTCCCAAATAAATTTGTTCAAGATCTGACCAGTAGTTTGTGAGTTATCTTTAATAATGCCTATTTAATTGACTTCTACTACATGGATGATGTTCGCGTTTTATTTACAGTGGAATCCGTTTATAATGACATCGAAGGGAAATAACAAACACGTCATACTAAGCGGACGTCATATAAAGTATTTTGTATAAAATAAACAATCTCCAGTATTTGTTAGTATGTATTTATTTTAATAGAGAAAAATCTTTAATTAAAGTAACTTAAATTCTTAATAATAAATTCTTGTTTTTAAAAATCATCGAGATTGTCGAGTGACCAACCCCAAATTCCCTTGCGAGAGATGAGTTGGATTCTCCATTTTTTAAACTGCACGTGCACTGATGTTGAGATTTCTTTTTTTTTTTCACAAATCACTAACAAACACTCACTACTGACCAATAGTTTGTGAGTTATCCTTAATAATGCGTATTTAATTAACTTCCACTACGTTGATGATGTTCGCGTTTTATTTATGTATATTGGAGTCGGTTATACAATTTTTTTTACTACTTGTTTATAAACTGACAAATAAACTGAGTGGCAAACGAACTTTCAGTCTACCTGTTGTTAAGTGGCTTCTGCCAATAGGACCCTGCAACCCACTTCAAATGAAGAAAGATACAGATGTGTTGTGTTCTGAGTTCTAAGATGGAATGCCTAACACACAGACATCTAAAATAAGGTCACACCCTTTAAGTATATTGGGCCACTATACCCTTCGAGCCGGGTCACAGTGGTGCACACTATTACTATGCTTTTCCGTTTAAGCGTCAAGTGGTAAAATTAAAAAAAAAATTGTATAATCTTCAATACAAATAGAATGAGAACATCATCAATGTAGTCGAAGTCAATTAAATAGGCATTATTAAGGATAACTCAAAAAGTACTGGTCAGATCTTGATCAAATTTATATAGAACCACATGAGAAGCACCAACTTTCATATAAAAAAAGAATCATTAAAATCGGTTCACCTAGCAAAAAGTTCTGAGGTAACACACATAAATAATACAGTACCTCCTCCTTTTTGAAGTCGGATAAATATAAAATTAAAGAAACATAGCAAACCTAGTTGATATAGACTGATGCTGACATAGAATACGAATGAGACTGTGCTTACGGAACTTGTGCCTATTTTATGCTTTGATAGAGTTCCCGCAATATAAAAAATAAATGTTATAAACGCTTATTTTGCTCACATCTATCTATACAAATAAATAAAATTGAAGTGTCTGTTTGTAATGTCAAAATAACAGCTTTTTACTAAATGCATATGAAAGTATATACGATACTTATAACAAAAATTTTAAAAAATTTTGTCTGTCTGTCTGTTTGTTCCGGCTAGCCTCGGAAACAGCTGGACCGATTTCGATAGGACTTTCATTGGCAGATAGCTGATGTTATAAGGAGTAACTTAAGCTACTTATATTTTAGAAAAAGAATTAGGGTTCCGCTAACTAATTAAAACCCTAAATTACACGCGGGCGAAACGCGGGGAACAGCAAGTTTGTTATAAAATTGGCCCTTTTTTATAAACCTGACGGTAAGTGACCACTGTACCCTATGGAACCCTGTAACTGATATCAACTTCAGGTAAACAACACTACAGATGCGTTGGTCACCTCTGAGGTCTAAATTATGACTATACTAAGATATACTCTTTACCCTTCAAACCGGGACACAGCGATGCACGCACTGCTTTTTAACGGAAAGAATACGTTAGAGGATGGTACCCATCCAGATGGATTAGTCTAATTAATTTTTGTTTTTATAGTTTGAAGCGAACTGGGAAGCAATGGCAGCCAACAAATCTCAGAAAGGAAATAACGAGTCATCGGATTCCATGGCGTCTACCAAACCATTTACATCAGCAGCATCGGAGTATTTCAAGTAAGATGTTCATCCATGTGATTATTTTAACCTTTATCTGTTTACCTCAATGAAATAATAGTATGACTAGAAAATATTTGACGAAAATTTTAATGATTTCTTAAAAAATTCCAGTCGGGCTATTCTTGAACTGCAAGGGAGTGAAGGTTTACACGATCTGGGCGCTATCAAGTGGGACATGGCCTTGTGTTTGCTCGTTGTCTACATCATCTGTTATTTCTCCCTTTGGAAAGGCATCAGCACTTCTGGCAAAGTACGTTAAGTACCTTTGAAAGTTAAACTAGATAAGTCTCTGTGTGTGTCACTCAAAAATTCAATTTTTCCCACATTCTATTGTCAACTAACAGTCTTTTAATAACCTTATAATTTCCAACTTAAATAAAGTAGGAAATAGTGATTTTCAATAGGTAACATTGTTTGAAAAGCACTAAGTAGATAATAAAAACTAATAATTTGAAAATTTTAAAATTAATCGGAAATCATGGATTTTATCCATTATTCGATTTCATTAATAATATATTTTACGGAGAATCCACCCCTCCATTTGGTCCCGAGGGTGTCGTAAGAGGCGACTAAGAGAAAGAGAAGACTAATGATTTCGTGGCCTCTGACAGTCATATATTATAAAAATCACTTAGTTTATAATGTGATCTCCAATCCACTGCCGAGCGTGACGATTATGGAGAGCTAGGAGTGGAATGTTCCTGGATGATAAAGAAGATAGAAGAAAAGATTACGTCATCATATAAATAAAATAAAAAAGCCTTTTATTTCTTGCATTATATTTAACATTTCTTACCCGGTCGTCACTCCATCTAGTGGGGGGGACAACCTACACATCGTCCCACGGTACGAGGCCGCCACTCGGGAACCTTTTTTCCCTATCGGTTGTCGGTTCTTCGAGCTATATGTCTGGCCCATTGCCACTTCAGATTATTAATCCGTTGGGCTATGTCGGTCATTCTGGTTCTACTGCGGATATCCTCATTTCTAAGTTTATCATGCAGAGAAACTCCGAGCATAGCCCTCTCCATAGCTCGCTTAGCGACCTTCAGCTTTCTCATTCGGCCAGCAGTGAAGGACCACGTCTCAGTTCCATAGGTCATCATGGTAACACGCACTAGTTATACAGTCTCGTTTTCAAGTTTTGAGGTATACCTGACGAGAAGATGTGCTGTAATTGATGCCCAGCTGAGTTGACCTCTCGATCGAAGTTGGACACCCCACTAGATGGAGTGACGACCTGGTAAGACATGCAGGAAGTCGATGGATGAAGGTGGCTCAGGACCGTACTTTGTGGCATTCCTTGGGGGAGGCGTATATACAGCAGTGAACTTATGTAGGGCTGTAATGATGATGATGATGATGATTTAAAATTTTGATTACAGTAATTATAATAATATAATAATTTAAAAAGGACTGTTACATTACTTTGGTTTTAAAGTTATTTCAAATGTGCATAGTTATTTAATTTTTAGATTGATTAGAAATTAAAAATAAAATTATAGATTTAAAATAAAATAGCATGCATGAACCCCTCATGTAGTGAGGGTGAAGGCCTCCTCCGGAGAACGCCAGCGGTCTCGGTCTTTGGCTTCTGACAGCCAGTTTTTACCTGCGACTCAAGTGATGTCTGCCTATCTAGTTGCAGGTCTTCCCTTTTCCGAGTGCCTGTAGGACCTGGCCATGACGTCATGTGAAATGTCCATCGCTAGTCATCATATACATTACTGAAATAAATTTTATTTATACCAAATATAAATTAGTAGTTTAATGTGCCACGCTACAGTTATATTAAGGTTGCATTACGAATGGCTCGCCATGATAGGGATAGGACTATGCTATTACAAAATTCCAGCATAAAATACCAACATAATGCTGTTGTCTTTCGTATGGTAACTGTAAGAAACCGGAAGCCCTTTTTATAACGAGGCATTCTATCTTAGTTCTCAGGTCACTCCTGTCCCACATCGAATCTACATTTTTATAATTAATTTGACGGCTCCGTGGCGCAGTGGCTTAGCAATCAGTTGTTGCGCTGGGGGCCGCGGGTTCGAATCCCGCACGGAACAAGTATTTGTATGGCCTACAAATGATTGTTCCGGGTCTGGATGTTTGTCCTTGTGCAATTTATGTTTGTAAACTGCCTCCACGACACAGGAGAAAATCCTAGTGTGGCGGTAACGTTTTTAAAAAAAATATTGATCAGATGTCTATAGGCTACAAGCCACTACATCAGGTGGACTTTGTGCCCGTTTGTCGCTTTTCCATAAAAAAAATCGATATCAAAGTTATCATCATAATCAAGTATCCACGTAAATATCGAATTATAAAATGAATGTGATTTTTGCAGGTTGTTTGGTTTACTGCGTTATTCCCGTATGCCGTGTTGCTAATTTTATTAGTTCGTGGCGTCACTCTTCCCGGCTCAGCAACTGGCATTCAATACTATCTTAATCCAAATTTTGAAGCAATTACCCAACCACAGGTATATAGATAAATACATAACTTAACCATTTTTATGCTTTTTAGGATGAATTATAATATATTACTTTCTGTTTCGAATCAGGTTTGGGTGGACGCTGCAACTCAAGTATTCTTCTCCCTGGGCCCTGGATTTGGTGTACTACTGGCCTATGCTTCGTATAATAAGTATCATAATAACGTTTATAAGTAAGTAAAAACTTATATACACTATCAATTTTATCTAATGCCATTGTCTATATGCAACAAAATAATAATAAAACTAAAAATAAAAATTTCAGAGACGCCCTACTGACTAGTGTGATCAATTCATGCACTTCGTTCGTCGCTGGTTTCGTGATATTTAGCGTTCTGGGTTACATGGCACACGCTTCTGGCAAAGACGTGAAGGACGTGGCGACTGAGGGACCCGGATTGGTGTTCGTCGTTTACCCGGCGGCTATAGCAACTATGCCAGGGTCTACGTTCTGGGCGCTCATTTTCTTTATGATGCTTCTAACATTGGGACTTGATAGCTCTGTAAGTTGAAAAAGTGACTGATGACGTTTCTTATATATTAATAGTACAGCATGTATTATTATCAAGACATAGTAGATTGGTTGTGGGCCTCCCCAAGGAAGGAAGTTTATTGGCATGTCTACTTTTAGGCCCGTGTCATTTGAAATGTCTCGTCCGTTTCGCTGAAATAGGTTAAGTTGATGTACCCACCTACTCAATTCTCACCTACTCAGGATAGGATTATGAAGGCACAAGTGCGTGCGCAAGCATCTGTTCTCTCTATTCTATCACTCTCATAGTCCGTTGAGACGGCAATCCAACACGACCGGAGAGAGATCTAGGACTAACGATTCTATGTGATTTCTGAGGCACGAGGATGAAACACCGCTAACTTCCTGACTCCGGCTTGATAGTGAGAATTTTTCGACAGGAAAACCCAATTACTGATTGTTTATTTATTTATTTATTTATTAGGACAAAAATTACAACAGTAATACAAAGATTATTTTCTTAAAAAATTCAACACATTATAATTGTATTTCTTATTATGGGTAATCAGAACATGCATTGATTATTTTGTAAGGAATAAAAACTGAATTACATCATTGAACAAATACAAATTATTAAAAAGAAATAGAATTATTTAACAATATTATAAATATCTTCATTGTCATATTATATTATATTAATCAAACTATAAAAATCAAAAACAATTCCAATGTTACAATTATCTAATAATTAGTTAATTCGTTAATTCATAGAAATTAATTAATTTTGATTTGAAGGTGGATAAACTATCGCAATTCATATCGAGGCCAGAAATCTTCGAGGACAATTCGTTATAAGTGCGAGCCAGTCTGGCTAGAGGGGAATACTTTCCCAGGTTAGACCTATAAAGGGATACATTGAAAAAGGCGTGCGGATTTCTAGGCATTCTTGATGGCACCTTAAAGTTAAATAATTGAACTATTGCTGGACAATTGTTCAGCAGTTGACAACTACTAGGTCAAGCCATCGGATGGTATGGAGTCGAGAATATTTCGCCGCCTCCAAATTGTACGAAACATACATAGGTACTTCACAACTAACAAGTTAAAAATATATTAGTATCTAACAACTAAATAGCAGGATAAAGAATTTGGTGAAACAGATTAAACAGTCTGAACAGTCATAGCAAAGAATAACTGTTCCAAGCGCCATAGCCAAGAGTCTCCAAATAAGCTACTGTTGGCCTTAAACTGCCTCAAAGATGGTATCTACCTTCATTATGTGACTACTTTAAATAAAAATAATATAGATAAAAGCGGCTCATACTACTGTCTGAATCTGTCACGCCGTCAGCCACGTCCTGACGTATTTTCTTATGCCACACGGTGGCGTGTAATCGAATAAACTCGGAACACCCATTTATGTTTTTTTTTTAGTTTGGTGGTTCGGAAGCGATAATAACAGCTTTGAGTGACGAATATCCACCAATCGGTCGCCATCGAGAACTGTTTGTGGCGTGTCTCTTCACACTGTACTTCTTTGTTGGCTTGGCGTCATGCACCAAGGGCGGATTTTACTTCTTTCAACTTCTGGACCGATACGCTGCCGGATATTCGATGCTAGTGGCTGTATTCTTTGAGGCCATCGCGGTATCTTGGATTTATGGTCAGTAATACGTTCTTATATTGACGCGACTACTACAAATTGAATAAAACTATTTTTTACGTATTAATATATCGCACTTAACCTTAACTTATTTTTAATTCTCGATATTTCGAGTGCTCTACAGTGCCCGTGGTCACGTGAGAAAAAAATAAGTCTAAAATAATTGCGGTTAAGTCAATTAAGTTAAAGTTAAAGTTACAGCCTATATACGACCTACTGCTGCGCACAGGCCTCTTCTAATTTCTGAGAAGGTTTTAGGGTAAGGAAATGTCCGCCGCGCTACCCAATGCGTGATGGCGAACTTCACATGTCTTCGAAATATTATTTTTTGTTATTTCTCAGACATGCAGGTTTCCTCGTGATGTTTTCCTTCACCGCCGAGCACGTGGTAAATCAGCACTTAAAATTGCAACTAACAATTTCATTAGTGTCGGCGGGGATCGTACCCGGGTTGCTCACGTACTGTGAAATTTACAGCGAGCGCTAACCATCTGAGCTACCACGGCTCTTTTCAAGGCTCAAGTCAAATAATTAAAGTAATTAAAATTTGTTTTATTCAATTTATGGTGTCATCTTTTAATATTAAGGTACTGTTAAGGTCAATTCTTGTATCAGTCTCGTATTATAAATACAAAATTCCACTTTTGATCGATAGTATTCGATGTAAGTGAGAGTAAGAGCCACTGGTTTTTTTTTCAAATCAAATATCATAGTGACGGCAGGTTGAGGTTGACAGGTATAGTGGTAAAATTAAAAATGTTGTACAACCGGCTTCAATATAAATTATTAAAGATAACTCAAAAACCACTGGTCAGACATTGATCAAATTTATATAGGACCACAAGAGAATCACCAACTTTCAAATAAAAAAAGAATCATCAAACCTAAGACACAAAAAAAATTTAAAAAATACAGTCGAATTTAGTCCTTGTTAAAGTCGGTTAAAAAAGTGCTTTTAACTGCACGCTAAAAACTACTAAACGGAACTTCGGTGACTTCTGCTTTCGTCAGTCAAAATTAGCTTGGACTGGTAAACAATTCTAACTGTAACATAATATTATGTAGACTGTGCAGATATTCTTTTTGTAAATTTATATTCTGTTGCGAAACTTTTCAACTAAAAAAAACTTATTTTATTTACAAAATAACGTTTAAAATTAATTATATTAAAAAATTATAAATATAACCACTTCAGGGACGGAACGATTCTGCGAGGACATCCGCGATATGATTGGCTTCCGTCCGGGCTTGTACTGGCGGGTGTGCTGGAGATTCGCGGCGCCCGCTTTCCTGTTGTTCATCACCGCATACGGTCTCCTCGATTACCAGCCGCTCGCTTACGAGGGATATGTATACCCCGCTTGGGCTAATGGACTCGGTTGGGCGATTGCAGGCTCCAGCGTCATTTGCATACCTGTAGTCGCCATTTACAAAATTATTACGACAAAAGGAAGCTTTGTTGAGGTAACATTTGAATATTTGAATTCAGTTTTCATGGTAAAGCCATGCTGTAGTTATATATCTGGTATAGTTGTAGCAACAATGGGTCGGCTCGACCGGGGAAGGACCACGCTCTTACAGAATAGCAGCGTAAAATAAACGCTACTATATTTCGTATGGTGAGTGTAGAGAACCGGACACCCTTTTCACTCGAAATGAGGCATTCCACCTTAGTCCTCACGGGTGAAAACGCATCTGCATTTCGATTTGTAATCGAGGATAGATGTAGATATCTATGGGTTACAGCAACCACTTATCATCAGGTGGACTGTGTGCTCGTTTGTCACCCTTATCCTATTAAAAAAAAGTTCGATTCCTAACTTATTAACGTTATGTGATGACCGTGTATCGAACAGCACATCACCAATACCCCAACGATATTCGGTTCAAATGCTGCAATTAAATAAAATCAAAAATTTTCTTCCAGCGAATTCACATCCTGACGACCCCTCTAGCGGACACGGAACGCAATGAACGTAATGCGGTTCACAACGGTATGGTTGTATCCGAGAGTGGCGGAGTGCGACTCACATCCAACGCCGGTACTCCGACCTCTCCTACAGTTCCTACCGCATCCACCGCCAATGCACCTCTTCCACCCGGGCCTGCCCTTGTCTGAGCTCAGCTTTCTTTCGATGTCTACTACGTTTAGATGAGCAAATCATTTTAAGTTTGCTACTAACGTCTCCAGTAGACTCGGTGTATTACAGGCCTAATAACTTCGATCACTAATCCTTTCCTTACTAGTGATCGAAGCCTAATAATGAACTATACCATCAGTGATTAACGGCACAAGTATTTAATACGCGGGTATAATTTTGGCGGCGTTGTTTGGGCTTTGTTTATATACGCTTGAATAAGTAAATAAGATACAGTGCCATATTTTTTAAATTATATATTTTGCGTTATGACCTAAAGTAAGGTGATTACGTCGTAAAATCTTATGTACTTTACAATACATTGTTTTGCGCACTTCGTGTAACCTAAACTTATAGGTATAGTTATTCTATTTCACGATGAAGGTTTTACTTTGGTTGTGTTAGCCGTGCATATACACATTGTTTTAGTGTGCGTAAGCCTCGGGAGCACTAAGTCACGATCGCGAGTCGAACGAATCGCAGTTACACACACAAACGCGCCTGTCGGTACACGTCACTCCTACAATCAAGGCGAAACCTTAATTGTGAAATAACTATAAACAACAACACAAATGTAATAGGTACTATGCTGGTTGTATGTAGATACCTATTTGTTAAATTAGATACAAAATTATAATATAGTTTACGTTATCACATGGTTTACCTTTTTTGATTAAAATAAAAGTATCAAGAATAGTTTATTTTATCATCACTTTATTTAATAAACAAAGGACTTGAAAGGGTACTTAGACGTTTTTGTACTTTTTTATGCTTTGCTTTAATTCTACAATAATAAAATTTTCTATTGTTTAAATATCATATAATATTTTAATATTGCATAATTATAACATAATTAATTAATCTAGCATTAAATAAAAAGTAATTTAAGCAATGTACCTAGTTATTATTAGAAAATGGATAATACTCATTTTTAAAATAAATATACCTTAGGATATAAGCTATAGGCTCGTATAACGACTAAATAAGTAGGGAAGTAAGAAAAAAAATGGAAAGAAAAAACATTAGATAAAAGTATGTACTCGTATTTTGAAGCGTAGATATAGATTATAACAATGCAGCGTTTAAGATAGAGTTATTTGAAATCATTGTTTATTGCGCAGCGCATAGTATTAGTCTGTAAAATACTTCATGTAATTCAGCAAACCGTCAATGTTTTTAGCAGTAGTCTTTGTAATATTGCAATTGGTGCAGTAAGGTTGACGCTGGAGCAATTAGGTACCCGTTTACACCCGTTTACGATATTTACCCCTATAGATAGAAGTGTTATGTATTTGTAGACCCCCGTTAAACCCATTTTAGGCTATAAGCAAAGGCCACGCTTTCGATGTTTCAGTAGTTAATTAGCTATTATATTTATTTATTCACATTTAACAACGATTATAGGAAAACAATGCTTTCCGGGCTATCTTAATTTTAATACAATTTTTTAATTTTAGTATTTCCTGTTAAGGATGTTCATAAATAAAATATTAGATATATTATGTGTAATTAACGTATTAATAGTTCATAAGACTAATTTTATTCAGCTTTCATAATATTAACTGTATTTAGAAAATATTCGATTAAGGTTCCCATGTAACAAATATGGGATAATAGGAGCCTAAATGCACCTTACGAAAATCTAGACCTATGAATCTTACGAAATTCTAGACCTATTTTTGTCTTCAAAATATTTATAGCATGTATTCTTGCACTATTTAAGACTTTAAAATAAGATATTATAAGGAAACACGATGCTGTGTAGATAATAGAAAAAGTAGTGCTATTAATTCTTAGATTGGTGTTACATAAAGAGTTCATATACCCACATAAATTAATTTATTCTAGAACATACGCATTTTAAACTTTACTAGTAGAATTTTAAACCTGTGTAAGCTTTCTCTATATCTTTATTATATTTATCTACAATATAGTAATCGGTATTATAATATTATACGTTTCTAAGTATGTAGTTACAATGTGCATGTTTATTAATAGTTAAAATAGGATTCTTTCAAATATCTAAATGTTCTATCTATCTAAATGTTGTGATTGATGTCCTAAAAAACGTGCTCCATTTTTAAAAGTATCTTTTTTGAAGTATATAATTTGAATATAATAATCTATATTTTAATAATTTTAATTAAAAAAGAACTATTCATCACTCCGTTGTGGGCAATGCGGATTGATGAATTGTCATTTTGTATCATTATTATTTTATTAATAATTTGTTAAATTCTAAGAATATTAAGATGTGTGCAAAATGTTCCACACGCACTGCGCTGTCTTCGTGTGTGTGTAGTCTCTAGAATTTAGATTGTAGCTGAAAAGTGTTATAGGTGTTTAACATTATTAAAGCTTATTTAAATTTAATGCAATTAATCTATTAAAATAACTCTTTCAAGGTAGTTAGATGTTATAATAGCTATTCGATTATATAGCATATTTGTTAGCCGTTGATGTTAATCTTCTACAATCAATAGTTATACCAGCCATTATGACTATTGATTCTTATTAATAAACATATTTATACACGGTTGCTTGCATTTTAATCAACTTTCATATAAATTAAGATCCACACCCTCATAATAAGTACATCCGTGCTTGTCCAGTGGCTAAGTGACCAAAAAATGAGTAATGCATCGCGAATCTTGGGATCAAATTTAAGCCAGAGGAAAAAAATGTTAATCTCCGTTCTTTTAGGGTTAGGGGAATTCTACAATAACCTTGTTCCTCTGCCTTGTTGGTCTTGTAGCCGCTAACGGTGCTCCTGATCATGAGTTCCCGGGTACAGATCCCGGATTGGATTAAAAAAAAGCAGTTATTACGTTTTTCAAGAAATTATCAGTAAAAGTCCGCAATTATACATGTTAGAGCGAGCAGAACCACGCTCTCACAGAATACCATCGTAAAATAGCAGCTTAACGCTGCTGTGTTTCGTATGGTGAGTATAGAGAACCGGAGACCCTTTTTACAGGAACCGAGGCATTCCATCTTAGACCTCACGGGTGACGACGCATCTGCATTTTGATTTGTAATAGAGGGTATATGAAGATGTCTATGGGTTACAGCAACCACTTACCATCAGGTGGACTGTATGTGCGTCGTTTGTCACCCTTATCCTATAAAAAAAGTTAGGAAGTTGGCGCTGTTTCACACCCGCGCCTCGATAAGCACGCAAAGTTGTTGGTTCTGCATCTGATCTATCTTCGTTGGATTAGTTGTTGGATTACCGTTCCACAGGACTATGACAGAGAGAGTATAATAATAATAAGCATAAGCACCTGTGCTTGAGCGTACATTCGGGCGCTATAATCCTATCCTGCACAAATAGCTAGTCTCAGTTGAGACTGGCCACCGTGACCGAAATTCTGTCTGGAGGACATTATTTTCACAATAATCTTGTCTTACCCTGCCACCTATACTAAGTAACTATTACAGATAACCTTTCGCCATATTCTTTCCCTCTCCTGTTTCTTTCCTTTCCCTCATTTAATTGCAGTGTAAGCATCCGAAAAACATCCCACCGCTGGGCATAGGCCTTCACTCATTTCTAAGGAGCTGCGTTATGGTGCAATAAATTCGCAGTGCTATTACTAGTTCTCGAAATATTTATTTAATTTCCTCACAATATTTTTCCTTCAACGTCGAGTACATTGTAAATCAGGACTTTAATTATTGCCATCGGGGATCGAACTCAATTTACCCGCGTACTGAACAATTTACGGCGAACGCTTCGCCCCTGAGTTACTGCGACTGTTAAGAATGGATACCAAAATTATAATAAAGTAAACTATCAAAAAAAATGTATACATAATAAAAGTGTCACCCAATCGTGAGATAGACAGAGAGATAAGTCTGAAAGAATTTTGAAAGAATTCTAGTATTGAAGTGCAAATAACGGGCTGCGTTATTCCTTATTGAACTAACTCAAGTATATGCATAAGAAAGGAGCTATAGATGAAATAAACAACTGTAGACAGCTAATTTATTCAGGCAATATAATAAATAGGTGGTAGGATTCCCTTTCTGCCTAGGACTCAATCTTTGTAGGTTCCACCGCCTTACCTATTTCTGACGCCAAATCTATACATATAATAAAACTGTAAATAGCAGATGTCTGTACATTTTATATTTTTGTAATAAAAGTGATTGAGGGGTACTAAAAATAAGTAATTAAATACATTTCTACCATTTTTAGAATTTTCTGTCTGTCTGTCTGTCTGTCTGTCTGTCTGTTTGTTTGTTAACGTATCACGTATAAAGTACTAATTTATATCATAAGAATTGTTAAGGAAATTATAAAGTGTATCTTCGTGTTACATTTAGTCTTTATTTCATTAAAATCAGTTCATTCCATCAAAAGTTACGATAAATATTCTGAAGTATGGGTAGGGAAGTATAGGTACGAATTTGCTCAACGGTGGCTTTGTTTGAGTCATCAAGTGCATTTTAAACTAATATCATATCATAAATCATAGTTAAATTATGTAAAATAATGATATAATTACGTATATTTAAAACGCAGTAAACAAAAGTATTAAAGAACGTATTAAATATATTATACAAAAATATATTAACCTTATTAACTAAACCTGAAGCACAATAGTTAACCCATTTCTTCGATAGATGGTGGTGTTGTGAAAATGTAATGCAATTGCAATGTGGTTTTTACTGCTAATATATATGCTGCTAATCTTTATTATATTACTCGCTACCCTACTGCGTGTTGACAAACTCAATTTATTCTTTACCGCCGAGTACTCTATGTGGTAAATCAAATTTTAAAAGAGCTATTAACAATTGCGTTGGTTTTGGCGAGAGTCAAACTTTATTTTTTGCTTACTGTGCAGGCACTGATTTATAAGTTCTCTTGCGTTTTATATAATGTATCAATCGCGTCAATTAATCTCTTTTATTTTTAGAATTGATGTTAGCAGCGCCATCTCTCTTTAAATATATACATATAATAAAAATGATG